ACGTTACACAAAAAACTTGATAAATGAGGCACTTATTTCTACTTGCAGAATTCTTTGAATCACCTTTTCAATGGTGCAGACTCATGATCTAAAACAAGATGCGTTTTGACAATAAGTCTATGGAATAAGATCGCAATACTGGCGCGGGATTCCCAAATCGACCACATCTGTGACGCTAAATCTAAGATTGTTCAGATATTTCGTATGACGTACGAAAGAACTCTTAGATAGAGAACAGATAGAACAACAAGGTACGTCGACCTTTAGCAATTGAAGGTTTTTTGTACCTCTGTATTTTGGAAATACCCGTGAGGCAGTGTTATGATTTTTGTGGTGGTCGTTTGTTATTTTTTAATAACATATCCCAACTATACTGCCTATGACTGGTTTATAAGCGAGGTTCTTATTTGTTAGAAAATTAACATACTCTTTACCATTACAATCTATTATACTACTAAAATGTGAACCAAGTTTTAAACTGTTTGAACAAGTCTGTTAATACATTGTGTAGGCTTTCACGGCCATCGTTCAGCATATAGGTTTTCGGGCAAATTCTTCGAGCAATAAAGGAGCTAACAGCTCCTGATAAAGCCGTCTGCTCTGCTCGAGATGGCGAACAGCCCGAAAAACAATGATATGAAGTCTGGTAATGTTGATTGTTAAATCTCGCAATGCGTCGAGTACAAGAGGTTCTAAGTTCGTATTACTGGGAGTCTTTTCGCTCTTGTAATTCTTATTAGCTATTAACGTGTCATATGAATCAATAAGTGATACATATATATGAATATACATGTGTCTGCCTCATACTTAGAATTACGACGAAATACAATCGAAATTAAATTGGATTTAAAATTTACCGTGTTTTTAAAAATTACAGTTCCTATTACTGCATGTTTATAAAGTATTACGCAATATAAACCTTTTTCTATACAAATTTCTTTTAAAATTTCTGTTACAAGGCTTTCATCGAAAAAATTCGGGTTGATAATAAAATAAAAACTAAATTCACATTTCGACTTGCATAAATTACGATAAGACGCCAGTCTAATGTCTATACTTGTAGGTAAAATTATCATTTTTTGCGAATAGAACACATAATACAAATTAACGCAAAATTATTGTATTCTTTGTACATATTAATATTTATTATAGAAAAGAGGATTACATTTATGGTTAAATCTTAAACTCAAAAAAAATTACATCAACGACGATTTTGGGTGTCTGCCAAACATAGGATATTGATGAATACTTTAATAAAAGAATCAGGAAAAGTGTTTTCTTTATGCCTCACATATGGGACATGGTACATGTACATATTTACATATTTTTCTACAGGTGCATGTTTTCCTGTCTTTAATTCTGTACATTTATAACCTCTCCAACATTTATTATTGCTGTCTGGCATTGGCGCTTTCTTTATAAACAAAAAAAAAACGATGAATACAATCACTTTAACGCAGCGTAAAAAATATCACGTCAAATAATGGAGCTAGTGACGTCAACAATTTATTGACGCGATGCGGTTAATGTAAGATAATCAATTTTACAAGCCCATTTATTAAAATAACGTGCATAAATCGAGCATTTCAAGTTGTCACGCCCAGCTATGATATGGTTTTCCAAACAATAATAGTGGATTTATTGCGGCGATGTCAGCGAGTGATATCCGGGCGGTGTTTCGTGCAAAAATCGGCGTAGGCGCAGCTTGCACGTATGCTACACCCGCGCAATGGACGTGCCCACATATTGATATGGAACTATAGGCAGAAGTGTCACAGGGGCAAGACTAAATAATAATTTAAGTCTGATTAAAGATTTCTGACATATTTTAATGATATGTGTCATAATTGATTACCCTTTGCTTTTTATCTACCGTGTTACATAACATGGATTTTTTTAGCTCACCCCTACTGTTTAACTTTAGGTTTTTCTTGCTAACTATTGGCATTAGTGGCGCTAAATGCTATTGGATCAGAGGGGTTTCAATTAAAATATTTAGAATTGTTATTATTGTGACCTACCAATAAGACCAGGTCTCCTCCATCACTGAGAGAGAGGTTTAACGATTATCTCTATTAAGTCGGTGTCTAGGGCTGAACTCTTAAAGTGCTGTCCTATTTATAGAGTATTATAAAACCTCCATATATGTTTTCGGTAGTATATAATAATACAAACCGTGGACTGGCAATCTGTGTAAATAGACCAGCGCGAATGCAACAATGTAGGAACTAAGAACGCTGCACTTAGCAATGTATACGTCACAAGACTAAATGTATTTCTGTGTATAATTTGTAGTGTATAGTTTGCGAACGTCCATTTTTAGGCCCAGCCGGAAGTGTCTGCACGCAGATAACCGATCGGTAGGCAACTGTTCAAAGATATATACATTGTAAATATGTGGCATGTATTTCGCACGACCTTGATCCCCACGCAGTGTGCACGGTATTACGCGTGTAAAGTTAGGCCAAGTTCATACACAGCGCATGGAACGCGCACTGAAATTGCATACAATTGCTTTCACCAAACAAACTTACTACGAAGGGCGCTACGGAGTTTTTGTAGCGCGGCTTAACGTCTGTTAGTGTTAATTATATTATAATACATAAATAGTAATATTTGTAAGTTTAATCATTATCCGTAAATTTTGTTAACTAATTGTTATTATTAATAGGTTTTAATGTTTCTGTATTACGTACAATAATTGCAAAGATTGGACGGAATATTTTATTTGAAGCCCCCGTTAATAGACGTGAAACTTTTATTGAATTATGACATTAAATATAACAATTTTAACGGTTCATAATGCGTGTTATATAACTACGATACTTTTGGAATGCTTTATAGCAGTCGACGTCACGTGAAATTAAAAGTGTCTATTTAGTGCCGACAATAGTCATATCGTGTCATCCCAAGTAAATATGACCTTGAAATATCAATGCATGTCATGTATGCAAACTTCCTAACGTTATTAGTTCATAGCGATATGGCTATATGCAAGCTGCAATCACCTAAGATTGAAGCATTGCTACATTGACCTTGCGAAATTGCGTTTCCATTTGGTAACTAACGGCCGACGTTCTAAAATACTATTTACTTTACATTTAAATAAAACACTTTAACGGTTTAAATCGCGATATATTAGTTGCAAAGCATCCGAAACGTCGGGTCGAAGTTAAAAATAATTTTCGAATAAGTTTAACTAATATATCTCGCTTTAAACCGTTAAAGTGTTTTATTTAATACTATTTACTTTTTCATTTTATTTAATAACCTAGGTCGTAACTATTGTCTTTACTTTATGCGTATAGTACAAATTTAAATCAAACTCTTTTGACTGTTTAAAACATAATACATTACATTTGCTCTGTTTTAACTACGGCTCCACGTTTCGGATATTTTGCGACATGGTCACGGGGGGAGCCGCATTACAAATGTTTAAGTTAAATACCAGATAGGTCATTCGGTCCTCTTATTTTAGGATCCTATACCATAAGAAAAAGACAGATAAGACTGCGATGTGAGTACACTCTACAGAATGATAAAGAAGTTTAATTTGTATTATTGTAGCTCTAAAAGGGTATACAGGACAATACGAATTGAAACCCAAAGGAAAGAAATATTTGTGTCGTGTATAAAAAATTATTGGACACGGTAGCTCAATTGGTTAGAGCAACAGCACGGAACACTGTGTATGCCGGTTCAAGTTCTGCCGTATGGTACAAGCTAAATTCAATTTATAATTAAAAAAAATAAAATAATAATGAGTACATTATATGTTTTTTTACCGCTTCTGTAGCCAAATGGTTAAACGTATTGCCTAGCATTGCGTTGAGCACTATTTCAAATCCCACGGAACAAAAAAAAATGTTTCGGTCGGGCAGGGTACAGAAGTCTGATCAGCTACTTGCCCATTAAAAGAACGGATCAATGAAACGGACACAGAAATGTGTTCGCCCCACGCCCCACGAGGGGGAAACGGGCTTTCACTCTTAACATTATATGTTTTAGATATGGATATAACAACTTATATTGTACTTACAATCAATGTAAAACAGAAGTGTATGGTCCTACCTTTAATATTATGTTCACATCCTTACACATATTGCACGTTGGCTTGACTATTGTGCGACGAAGGTCACGCTAACACATCAACCAGTTTAGTATCCATGTTTAGTAATCACCATCGCCCTCTGGCGATCTAATTTCCTAGTCTTGTTGAACATTGAAATAAAGAATGGGGTCTTATTGTTTTCTGGGAACAGCTGTTTTGTTCAAAATGTGCATTTCTCTTGTAATCGTGTTTATTAACTGTGTTTATTTAAATAATACACTTTAAAAGTATTAAAACGCGATATATACCTATTAGTTAAAAATAATTTTCAAAAAGTTTTATTAAACTAAAAGTTTTAAACCGTTAAACTGTACTTTAAATGTGTATTACTCGCGTAAACTAGACAGTATTTATCTTTGTATTACAAAAATACACTAATATATTTATCTACTATGAATTTTTAATCAAACGGTCATCTTAGCAAATCTAAAGAAATGTCACGAACGCAGATTTTTATCATTACACGTCATAAGGATGTGCATATTTAGGTAAAATTGACGTCAAAATGAATATAAATTACTAATACAACAGCGTCTACCTACAATTATTACGGCACATAAATTATATCTATAAAATATATTGTTTTATGAGCTAGCATTACTGACTACCTGTACACATAATTAGACTTTATAAAGACGACACTGTTTTTCTCCTGTTAATAGGTAATATCGTATACTTTCAAGCCAGCTTAAATTATCGTGAAAGCTCCATAATAACAAAGGACGTGAAATTAAAAAAATGAATAATTATAATTAATTAAATATAATATTGTTTTTAAATACGGCCGACGAATAATCTATAAACAAGTTCAATTAATATATTTGAGTTTTAAACCGTTATAATGTTATATTTAAAAGCAATATGAATAATCAATGTCAATAAATTATAATTATTGTCCCAAGTCTTCTATACAAACTTTAAAAATAGACCGTTCCGCGTCCGCGGCCTTTCTGAAGCGAGCATAATAGAGGAGGAGTGGGGGGCGCAGACGCGATGACATCACATTGGGTTGCAGTGCGGTGCGACAGCCAACTCTTGCGCAATCGCACGCCCTTGATCTTGACTGCGTCGCGGCCGCACGCGTACCCGCACACATTTGTATAGTACACGTTCGCAGCTATATTTATCTTCTCGCATGGACTATGGAGGCGCGAAACGGTAACGTTAGAATATAATAATGACAAGTATTTTGCGACGAGTGCTTATAGAGATAGGAAAATAGGAAGACTGATTAGAGCGCAGATAAGATATAGAATATTGCAGTTTTAAACATTGCTGCTCAATGTCAGGCAGGGTCTGGATGTCAACTGTGGCAACTGGCTAATTTTAATTTATAATAAATACCTACCTATTTAAATGGAATTGTAAAAAAAGCATCGGCTATGTATAGAACACGATTAATTAATGCATTGACAATTTATATATGCCGCAATGGTTAAAATAAAGCGACTGGTATTTTAAATAACTTAAAACAAACTATCAATTTAAATTAAAACCCGAATACAAATTGAAAAAAAATTACGCCACGCACAGAACTTTAATCGGAACCCTGTCTGCGCTGAGACAATTGAGCTACCGTGTCCTAGTTATGTTAAATTAGCCTAACATCACGGAACGCTGTGGATGACGGTTCATGTCCTGCCCGTGTCATATTTTTAAAAATGTATAATCGATTTTTAATTTATATAGTGCCGTCATGTGCAATAACGTGTGAAAATTAAAAGTTTTCAATTCGAATTCATTCATTCATATTTAACAGAAATAAAATACTGAAGTAATAATTTAGTTATAATCATCAGCTTTCTCACCTACTTAAGTAATTTCCGTAGCGAGATTTATCCCGACGCCTTCTGTTTACAATCCAAAGAATTCCAGATTCTCACCAACGTCCTACCAATATTCAAATTAATTCGATATTCGGAGATATCTGCCGTTCGGTTGAATTAGTTAAACTTTATTATTTCTTGTATTTACCATTAATACGAAGAAAGTAATTTTCATAAAAATATAAAGAATCTTTGTGCCTAATTAAAACAGGATGAACAACCAAAGCACACCATCAATCATAGCAAGTAACGTGTTAGCCGACGTCACGATTTTTATCAATCTAAGTTGTTACTCGGGCAGGAAATAGGCATGCGTTGATAACAATTGAAGTCAGTATTCGTTGTAATATACTCGCCTATTAGCATAAACTCAGCGTTATACGAACATCACATCTTGCATTCTTCTTGATCACTAATTCCTTAGGAACTTCTCGTCTTAAATCTAGGCACATTTTTTTTATATTCAATCATTTTTCAACTCTTCCAGTGAGTATAAAATGTAATCCTTTCTTGTGCTTACTAAACTAATAAAAAACAGGAATTAAAAAAATACTTAGACCCCAACGGAAGTATTTACATGTATTGAAATTTCGCTTAAAATATTCATTAAAATTACATCGTTATTCGTTACTATGTGATGTTAATCTAAATAATAAATCTAGATGAGCCTTTGAGAACCTGATTTAGAATCATTATCACTCTATATGACTACTAGTTTACATAGCCTTATAATTCTTAATGTATTTATATAGTCTCATTTAGTTTAATAAACACATTTAACGGTTTAAATTGCGAAATATAGTATCGCGTAAAGTATTTACTATAAACACATAGTTTAAATGTTTCATGCATGATGAATATTATAAAATCATTGTCTAACACGTTAGTTGCTACATATAACCAGGACGAATGTTCTTATGGGTTAAAACTTATGTTGACAAGTGTATCTCTCAATTTCAGCGGCGGGAGCTAGCTCAGACATGGGAAGTGAGCACTATTGCCTGAGGTGGAACAATCATCAGAGCAACCTGCTGGGAGTATTCAGCCAGTTGTTGCAAGACGAAAGCTTGGTGGACGTTACACTCGCGTGCTCCGAGGGTGCCTCCATACGGGCTCATAAGGTGTGGGATTGTTTCCTTTACACATTTCTCATATAACACGTAGATTAGATCATTAAAGATTTCATAGTAAACTTAGCCTGTATGATATCCGACAATATGCTTCGTCCTTCACGCAGCGTTGCAACCTGTTGACGTAAGAATGCAAAGAACATTACACAAATTGTCATAATAGAGGCATTAGGTAAACAAAAGGCAATTTAAATTACGATCTTTAATACTTAATTTATATAAACTATATGTATTTCATATTCATATACTATGTTATCTTACTTCTATGGTTCGCGTTTTAAACCGTTAATTTTTTTTATTTAATTTGCGCCTCTGGTGTTTACTATAGGTATAACTTTATTTTAAAATAATACTTACGTATGGATCCTTACAAACGAGGTATGATAAACCAGGTTTATTTTGGTTTGAAGGAAAGGTTTACTGATTCAATTCCACCAAACAAAAGTTTTATAGTAGTAATGCGTCGTATCTTACTTAAGCCTCCAAAAGTGAATTATTAATCAAAATTAACTTATTAGGTAATAACTTACATTGAAAATTTCAGGTAGTACTCTCTGCGTGTTCGTCGTATTTCCGTTCGCTGTTCGTGGACCATCCATCGCGCCATCCTATAGTGATCCTTAAGGACGTGGGTTTGGAGGAGCTCCGAACACTCGTCGACTTCATGTATAAGGGCGAGGTTAACGTCCAGTACTGCCAACTTCCCGCTCTCTTAAAAACTGCCGAGAGCCTTCAGGTGGGTTCATCATCATTGTTGATATTTTAACACTTACCACTAAAGCCTACATCCACTATGCCTGTCAAATGCATTTTGAACGTAGCGGTTTTCTTACGATGTTTTCCTTCAAAGGCACATGCTAAAATTTATGCATACTAAAATTAAATTTAAAAGTAACTAAAATTTCATTTTACGTAAAATAGTTATATACTAATATTATTATTTATAGTTATAGTAAGAATGATACTAATATTACAACTTTAATTTCAGGTAAAAGGATTAGCTGAGATGACTACATTAAGTGCAGCAGGGGTTGATGCAAGGAACGTTACAGAACCAATGGAGGAAGGCCCAGCGCAAAATTCAAATGAATCTGCGGAATCACAAGAAAGATTGCATGATAAGGAATCTAGGGATAAAGATGAAAGGCACGATGTAAAAGAAAATCGTGAAAGAGAGTGCAAAGATTTAAGAGAGAATGTAAGAGATTCACGTGAACCGAGAGATGTCCGGGAGTCGAGGGAGAGGGAGAAGGAAAGAGATTTAAGAGATCCCCGTGAACCAATGAGAGATAGGGAACCTCGAGAGTTGAGAGAGTCACGTGACCATAGGGACATACGAGACGGTAGAGAATCTCGTGACTTGAGAGATATACGTGACCTCCGAGAGGCTTCCGAAACCTCGCCACCGAGAATTTCTCCTTTACTTTCTGTCCGTAGATTTCGTACGGATCAATCGCTTGAAACCTCGACGCCTACGCATCCTCCTATACCTAAAGATGAACCACCGGATGAACCTATGCGGTCTTTATCTCCCGAAGATGACACCGTTTCAATAAGATCGAATGGCGCCAGTGAGAATATTGGTAAGATTTTTTCAAATCATTGATTTTCGATTGAAAATTATCAAAAAACCTTTCAGACGGTAATTTTTATCATCTAACAGCGTGTGTTGTTTTTAAGTTATTTGTTTATTGATTGTAATGTATTGATAAATAACCTTGTATCCAGCCGCAATAATTAAAATGTTTTTGACACTGACATTGACGGGCAATACGAAAGAGTTGACAGTTGACACTTTTACCATTTACATTTTACAAGTAAAAGTTTTAAAAATAATAATTGTTAGCAAATTATTAATTTATTACCCATATAGACATTATTAGTTTATTTAAAAACAAATACTGGTATAAAATGAATATTACAAACGAAATATATAATTACATCGTAGTTTTTAAAGCAATACTCAAAGTGAAAATGAATGTTCGCAGAAAATTAAAAATCTCCAAATTATTCCTTCTATTGTTAAGGTACTATCTATAACTATAATATTTTAAACAGCAAAGAACCACCACTTTTGCATTATACTTGAATTTATGGTGCTTCAGTCTTGGACAAAATTTTTAGAATACCGAATGCACCACATACTGTATTCCTTTAATACTTTAGACTTAATCATTATTTCTTTATGTACATTGCAATGATTTTGTACAAATTGTCAGGTTCTAAGGCTGGGACAGATAAGCAGTAGTGCTTTTAAAAGCTCCTTATGGTAAACTTTCTGTTTTCAGGCATCAACATGACTATTAACAGTCACGGTAGCCTAGGCTCACGATATTCACCAGTTGAGCAAAGACTGAGTGTGCTTAACACCCTGCCTCATCCGGGGCTGCCTTTGCACCCACACACAACCTTGCCAAGCCCAAGAAATGAACCCATTCCTGGACCGTCAGGATTGCCACCAGTTCAGCAAGTACCATTGGTATGTTATATTAAGTGCAAAGGATAATGGTTTTAATACCAAAGCATAGTAGAGTTCCTATTGCAAAAACAATTATGTTTATTAATGTTTAATTAATATTATGATATCTTGTCTAAATCTTTTGTACTTGAAAAGTTTTCTCTTTTTGTTTTCTCAAAGTCAGTAAATCTTTTTATTTTTATTTCAATTAAAATAAAATTTGATATACAAATTTTTCAGTCATTGAAAAAAGAAGTTGATTGGGACAGGAATAATGAGGACAAGGGGGGCGGTGAATCTTCGTCTTCAGATTATAGAATGCAGCATGAATCGGTATGTATTGAGAATGAATTTTTTCTAACAACTTCTTAAACATTACAATATTTAGAGACAGAATAAAAATTTATTTGAGACGATTTATATCTGTTAAAGAAAAAACATGTTAATTTATTGTTGTTGCAAATTAGACGAAAATAATGGTTGTATTGTAATGTTTAAGATTTATTTGTGTTGTATGGTTGTGGTAGTTCCTCTATATATATTTACACTTATTGATAGGCTGTTGGCTTCTTTCCTGTCCTTGTGTTATATTTTTGTCTAAGATTATCTTGTATAAAGCAACTTTATAAACATTGATGTTTATGTTGCCCGTAACTTTAACCCAAGGGGAAAATTATTCACTTAACTTAATTTTAAGGAACAATGTTTTTTTCTAAAAATTCAAAATTTTAAAAATTTTTAACAATTTAGTTAATTTACCATGCTAGAAACATTGGTTTCTTTTTTATATCATTATGTAGTAGTTGTGTAAATTATTTTGGTATTACTTGCATGCTTACTGTGCTGTGCTATTCAACATTGAGTACTATGCCTTGCTGTCAAGAAGTTGACCTTCATTTTGTTGGCCATCATTTTTATATTCATTCATTTTGTTTTGATTTATATATTTTGGGCAACTTTTTATTTAAATTTGGCCATTTAATTGCATATCGTTATTTGCGAATCCGAACGTTACCGACGCGCGCGCGTTGCTTCCAACAAGGCATTACGCGTCCGGCTGCCGGGTTCACTCCTGCACATTTTTGGGCAAAAATGAGCGTCAACTTCTTATTTAGATAGTGAAATAATAAAGAGACTGCATCTCGATTTAGAATGTAGTGGTAGAGATATTGCACATGTTTGGTCCATACATATCGAAACAAGAGACAAAGAAGTTGATGTTCTTTTTGTCGTTGCAGGAGTATGAAGGGCCCGGTAGGGGGAGAATTGAGGAGGGAGAGAGGGCTTATCCGTGCATACATTGCGGCGCAGCGTTTCCACACCAGAGCAAATTGACCAGGCATATATTGACGACGCACACGTTAGACACGCTAAAGTATAGAGACGCTATCATGGGTCGGCCGTTAGGGTTGCCGATGATAGGGCAGTTTAGTGAACCGACCTATTTGAGCATGCCGACCGAGGAGACTCCCATCGACTTGGACATCGGGCCCATGGAGCCAGGAAACGTTGTACTGTGCAAATTCTGCGGGAAGAGCTTTCCAGATGTATCGTCGTTGATAGCCCACTTGCCGGTACACACTGGCGATCGGCCATTTAAATGTGAATTCTGCGGCAAGGCGTTTAAATTAAGACACCATATGAAGGACCATTGTAGAGTGCACACAGGTGAGTTAAAACCATTATGTTCATAAATCGCATTGTTGCTTCAAGGTTTTATTTATTATGACTAATTATATAAGACTAATTTCTAAACTTCAATTGTATAGCAATGTATTTCGTTTGCCAGGAGAAGGTTAGGAAGATAATTTATGTTGATTATTGAATAATGATATTAGGGAGCTTACACCGAGACATAGTAATTATTATGGATGATTTAATATGGAATTCATTTTTTAGGGGAACGCCCGTTTCGGTGCGTTTTATGCGGTAAAACGTTTTCGCGATCCACGATACTGAAGGCGCATGAAAAGACTCACTATCCAAAGTACGCAAGGAAATTCCTGTCGCCCAGTCCTGTCGACACGGAGGAAGAGAGCCCACATCAATGAGTATAGCTCCACCTAAAGTGTGCAAATATTTAGTCAATGTGCGAAGTGAATAGTGAAAGTTGGATAAATGAAGGACAATATATTGTTATTAATAAGAATGTGATTTAAACGCCGCAACTGTGATCTGAATGATATAAATAATATTTGATATTACACTTATAGGTAAAATTGACACAAATCTTCTGTTCTCTCGTAAATTGATTTTGAATTGTTTTCTTTCGCTTTATAGATATTTTGACTATTAGGTGCTTTCTTTACGCCTTATATAGAAACTGGTAACTGATTTTCAGTCCCCTAGATGGCATAGCCAAAGTTAGGTAGTAAAGTGATAATTTTAAATGAAACTATATCGTATTCGCTAATTATTTTGCTTGTTTTCATAAAGTGTAAGACTATATTTTCTCGCCGTTTTGTTGTTATGGTAAGTGAAAGAAATAATTGCAAAATATTAAATTATCGCTTAAATTGAATAGGGACTTGCATTACAGTCGGTAGAACTAACCAGAATTAATTTTATAAACCAAATCAAAGATTGATCGCGAGTGCTTTAATTATACTTAGATATATGGCAAATGCACTCACTGTAGTTCGTATAGAGAGATAGGGATTTGAAGTTTATAAAGTATTTCTATGTCTTTCAAAATTGACGGACGCTCCCCAGAAGTAATTCAAAAGCAATACTAAGACATATAAATGTAAATATATTATATAGTTTGATACATATAATCGGATTTTTAGGAAATTTATTACTATTGTTAGGTTATAAAATATGCTTCAGTAGTTTAAATTGGGGAGTATTTTGGATGTGTGATCATGGGAATCAAAGCTTTAAGCACCGTTTCATTTTAACCCAAACACTATGCCACTTGCTGCTGGTCTGGAAAAGGACACATTGGTACAGTTATAAAACGAATGTCTAATGCCTAGATGAGTTGACAGCTCATTTTGTTTAGATGTAATTCGGCTGGGGCATTCCACCTTCCATCTGGTGAACCCTATCTTATCCGTTTTCTGCTGTCTTTAAAAACGACCACCAGACTAAGAGAGGAAGGGGCATAGTGGCCATCAATAATCTCAACTCTATTTTCATACAGGATGAACGAGTCTAATCATTATTTTTGTAGAATGTTTCAAATGCTACACAATCGGTTTGTGTTATATAGAATATAGTGCAAACTATCGCATAAACGATGTGCAATCAGTGGAGGCATTTGAAACTCTTCTCATAATAGCTGTGTTCAAGGAAATAAACAGAGTCTAATACAGGGATATTTTACGGATTGTATTCGTTTCATAATATATAAATACCAGAATTATTTTTTTGCACAAAACATAGCTGTAAAGTATTGTTGTTGATTACACCTAACTGAAGGTCCTACTGTTTAATTTCACAGAACAAATCATTCACTTATCATCATATACTCATTAATAAAGCTTTGATTTGATATGCGAAGTGCGTGCTTGGATTGATCACGACAAAACACGTGTGTCCCTTTTGTCTTTTTTCATATTCTGTGCCGAAAATTTTATAATTTCTGAAACGTTTGTCTTTCTCATCACATCAGTGAATTGTTGTGGTCAAAGAAGCAGGTTAGCGAGAGTATTTAAACCACCCAGTTGACTACTTGCGGTACTCTACTTAAAAGTTATAACGAAAAAACTAGTCTAAATTTTATCTGATCATTCATAATCTTGCGGTAGATAGAACATATCATTTTACACCTGAGTATAAAAGTAGGAATAGTAAATTAAAAATGTCTAGGGTACTAAAAATATATAGATTATTGTTTCGGATATAAGCATTTTAATCTCTTAGGGTAGATTATAGAACACATTTATTCAAAGTATTATGATTATTTAAGAAAAGATCTGTGATATATATTAAAATAAGAAATCGACATAACACCTGGAAGTTTCTTTGTGATCTCAGTAAAGAGTTCTTTTCGATGCCCATTTGAAGAATTATTTCAGTTTAAAGTCTTAGTTTATGTAACGTAAAAGTACTAAGCAAATGGAAAAATATCCATAACGAAGGTTCGAAAAATATATGGCACATCGGTAGAAATGCTTTCAATCAATTTGTAACTTCAGATCTCATTATACAATTTTAATTTCGGAAGATAATATTTAGAAACTAAGACACGAATTCTTGGTTATAATCTTTTTATTAGCATTGTACTTATTTTCAACGGACTGCTTCTTAGCCAATGCAATTAAAATTAAAAAATTACAGAGATCATAATTTATTTAGGGTACCGCATGTAGTGATATCTTGGCAGTTAATTTAATGGGAAAGAAATGTAGAGAATATGGAAGACATCGCTAAAGGTAGTGTTTTAGGAAGCTCTTCCAAGTGCACACAGTAAAGATTATATATAGTTAGATTTGCGCAGTGGTTTAAAATGTTTCAGGCGAGAAAAGTTTGTTTATGTCGTTGACGAGAGGGCGTTGACATTAAAAATGTTAACCGCATAAACATTCCATTGTGTACCTAGGTGCTAAAATTTACTTTGGCATACTCTTTGCACTAAACGTTGAATAAGTTAATATATATTGCCAATTATCTTAAATTCAAAAGTAAAGTAAATTTTAACACTTGAACCTTTCCTTTACGTAGACATTTTAGGTGTCGATTATTTCTTAAATTAAATTTCATCGTGTAATATTTTAGAGTCTAAAAGTGTATGAAATAGTGTTTTGTTTTTGAACTGCTGTTTGAACAATTGAATGCTTTCTTATCGATAGATTTAGAGATTGGTAGATGCGCTACTTTCCGGAGATAGTTATTGCGACTTGCCGCGAGTCCGCATAGGTCCTACACAGATGTTATACAGCCCAATTCTGGTATTCTACTTCATTGTCATATTTTCGTCACACTGACCTTTTTACGCGATTGGCGTTTAGTAGAATACCGTTTGGTGCACTGGTGTCTCGATAGCATTTCACTGTCTCGATTATTATCAGAATTGGTCCCTGAAAATGATGTTAGTCGTTAGAGCAATACCCCAAAATGCGGTTGGGTCTGCGACCTATGTTGACTCGTGTAAAGTCAGTAAACGTACATTGAATAGTTATATATACTTTATTCATTAAGATTACATTCACAACTAATGTTGCTATTTGAAAAGCTGCACTGTTATTTTCTCCAGAGTCGAATGTTACCAAGCGAAATAATATTGTAACCTTAATTAATGTTCCTCTTCTTATTTTAAGAAAGATTGAATATTTACAATTTACAAATAAATATAGCAATAAATATGTATGACACTATGTGTGTTGATATCGAGATAGTTTTTTATAATAGACAGAATGCAGTTAAAGTAATATTTTGTTTCCTGCCAGAGGCACTATTTATTGAATAATAATACTGTTATTTATATTTCTATGTATTTATGTGTAAATAGATAACGCAAAGTTTGTTAAAGTGTTTAGACACATCTATAAGTGCAGTTATTCAAATTTTAACATTTATCGAAGCCTCACTCGGCGAGTCACGCAATGAGCACAAACACGGTCTTATATTGTATATTGATAACGAATTAGGTTTTGAAGCCAACGTTCAAGCGCCCAAATCTACCCGCGTAGAATGATATTGTTGAAACGAGTATCAGATTTGTTTTAGTTACATAAATTGTGACCACAGTTTTATATTTAGAGTGCCTCTTGCCTATATAAGACTTAAGTATAAAGGCTGCGAATCACGGATTATAGATAACGTAGGAGTGACTTAGACGAAATGTACAAATTTTATGGTGAAAATTGTAAGTTGCGTTATGGTATGCAACTTGCATGGTTGTCAATTGAGAACTATCCCCACAATATTCTGTTGCTTTTTTATACCTCCGTAGATAGCGCATTCCAATCTAAGACGTGTAACTTAATTGTTAACCGGGTTATTATTTTCACGACCAATTAGACGAGTAAAATGTTTGTATATATTTTTCTAATATATTGTGGTACAATTTATTGGTTAACTGCGATTAACTGATTACTTTTTTAAGTGGCATAACTAAATATAGAACTTATTGCAATTTTTCTATGTTCCTGTAGTTGTATTAATTATTGTATATTCGTACAATTTGTTTTATTAATGCTAATTTGTTTATCCCTATTAATTTATTTAGATGTAGATTTAATATAATTTTAGTTATTCGCCATAAATTCTGCGACAACGTTAATTTTGAAGTCTTAAGTGTTATTCAGCTTCGATATATTTCCGCGCACCAATTTTGTACAATAGTTATGTCTTTATTTTTTTAGAATGCAGATGGCTTTATTATGAAATCTATTCGCAAGATTTTAACAAAGGCTATTTATTTCTATTAAGTTACAGTTGAAAGTTTTCAGCGTCACGCAATTTTCGTATACATTCTCTTCGATTTCGATTGTCGCTTGCCAATATGGTTTATTGTAAGTAATTGTTGTCATATAGATGAATCTATATCATCTCTCCCTTAAGCTGTTTCATTTCTCGATCATTGTTGATGTTTTAGATTAGATAAATCTGTTTTGCCTTAACATTTTTAATTCATAGTTCATAATAATACGTTGTATCAGAGAGGAGTATGGTTTTGTTGAAACTTAACAGTATATCGGAACCGTCAAGAATTGTAATGTGTAACGTTTTGTCAATTCTCTAACAGTACACAGACCCATCACTGTTGATCATTGTAACTTTGAAACAAATATAAGCATATCATAGCTGTAATAATACAATTTTGACAAATAAAAGCTCTACAATCATTAATGAAGTTCTTTTATTTGTATATGATAATATTTATTAACCTTTAAAATTGAGCATGCTGTCTATAAAGTGCGATTCTAAAATCTCTGTTATTTATAAACCTACACTTTTTTCAGATGTGTTTGGATATGTCTTGCGGCGCAACAGGAATTCCTAGTCCAATCCCACCACGGAGCCCGACGGCTATTCCTCTGTGGTCGCCGTTGCTCGCACTGCAAGCCTGTCGTATACGCAGGTACCTCAGCGACGATTGTATGACTTACCAAAACCGACACTTACTTCACTCGGAAAGACGTCGGTGTGGGGTATGCCTCGCATCCTTCCCGTCCACTTGGCTACTGGAACGCCACGCTGCTCTTCAGCATGCCTCTCAATCTGCTTGCGAAGATAAACCGTTCGTATGCGAACAATGTGGGCAAAGCTACAGGTACAGGTCAGCATATGTCAAGCACCGGGAGCAAAACCATCGAGCCAGGCTTCCAGCTGACAAGTTATTTACTTGCGATGTCTGCGGTATGCAATTCCGTTACCTAAAATCCTTCAAAAAACACCGTCTTAATCATACCTTAGAAAGACTGCACACAAAAAATACAGATCCTCCCGAAGAACCCGTGTCTAGTACTAACGAAGTTCTCATCGGGCAATGTGGAGAAATGGATCTCTCCTTGAAGAAGAGAAACAGAGATGACACTACTAGAACCCCGCCGATCGAAGTTATCGGTGACGCAGAGCAAGACAGCACCGTAGACTCTAACGGTGCCACCGATTCGATTGTAACAGTCGACGATTCCACAGACTGCAGAAATTCAAGTGCCGAAAGTGAATCTAGAAGAGATGACGACGCTCCTCCCGAAGAAAGAAAGAGAATACCTGTTTCGTTCGCTAGTATTAGTTCTATTGCGGATAGTTCTGAAAGCGAGTCGAGAGGCGATAGCAGTAAACTAGAGACGTCCAGCGCACACTCTGGAATTTTGGGCTTTCTGCAGAACGACGACAGGCAGAGGGACCGAGAGAGGAGATTCGCGTGCCCATTCTGCGGCAAGTGCGTGAGGTCGAAGGAGAATTTGAAGTTGCACGTGCGGAAACACACGGGCGAGCGTCCGTTCGTGTGTCTGTTCTGCGGCAGGGCTTTCGGGGGGAAGAGCGATCTGACCCGCCACTTGCGCATACACACGGGCGAGCGACCGTACCACTGCGAGGCGTGCGGTAAGTGCTTCGCGCGCGCCGACTACCTCTCGAAGCACCTCACCACGCACGTCCACAACGCACGTTAATTGATCGCGCCGTCCTTTTTCAATCTTTTCATACCTCTATAGTTAACGACCGAGTCATATTATTATAACAGCAAATGGGAATATTTTTTAAGACGTTTTTAACCTTCATAAAAGTATATCTAAGCAGGTCTAATTAGATTTTACATGACTGTTTTCGTTTCGAACTTCTATTTATATTTTAATAGATAATTTTCGATATTTATTCTATACATTAAAATAAATGGGATAGGTGATATTTATAATGATTGCTGATAAGTAAATAGAAATATTAAATATTTTTTTGTTAACGTCACACTACATGATTCAAATGCAATAATATTGCTTTTATGTTCTATCTGCGATTCAAAGTCACGGACTTTAACATTTTCGGCAACGCTTCATGAATTATATATTTAAAAATTCTCTAACAATAAGTTATTTCAACATTCAGAAAATCGTTAGGATCTATTAAGTCATCGAAATCGTTTGGCCGGACTGCAATTTGTGTAACTTGCAAAATACGTTTACGCCATATAATAATGTAATAAATTGATAGAATACAAAACTCATTCCAGATGGGAACTAGCAAAATGTAGTCGTGACGAATAGGTAAGTAGGAGAATGCAAAAGCTGTGATTTCATATGATTAAGACCAGTCAACAAGTTTTAGAACATCGAAAAATGTTTTATGTAAGTAAATTAATATAACGTTTTCATATTAATTATTATTATAGGTATAAGAAATCTCTCTGTGCCAAAATATGTACCTCATATAAGTAAACAATGAAGTAGATAAAATAATTACTTATTTATTGCTTAAACACGTTTTGATGTATAGTGACGGTCAACGATTCTGTTATTTTGGTTTCGTTTTCTAGGCCTGCAACCCATGACTTGAATTATTATTATCGATATTTATTTGGTATAGATAGATGACGTTAACGTTATGAGATCAATTTTTAAAACCAATTTTTTCTTATATTTGTATCAACTTATCGCGTTTAAACAGAACAAAATAATTTTCTACACAAATATTTGCCAAACATGTTCTAATTTCTCGATGTTCTCTTTGTCAACTTAAAATCGCTTCTCAAATTTGGAACCGCACTTTGAACATGTAGCGGTATAAAATGTAGACATATCTACTTTTTTGTGACTCATGTTTTCCAACTAACAAAAAAAATACCTTATTTTAGTTGCTACGTAGCTTTTTGACCTCAACTAGAATTGCAAAATGGCCGCGGAAACCTTTTACGATTCTATTTTAAGATGTCTTCTTCCATTGCTCTTGAACGAACTAATTTGAGACCTATTTCCACAGAAACGCTCTTTATTTGGATGTAAAAATACTTGCCCGCAATAAATATTAATGATATTTATATTTTAAGATTGAATACTAACTGCCAATAATGTGATATTCTTTATACGTATCTACATCAATATGCATATTTTTAATCTGCTAATACAACCGTGAGTTTACATTTTAATATTTTCTAGATTTTAAATATGAAGTGTATTTCTGGGACATGGGAGTAACGTATTGCGTCAATTTCAATTTATACAATAGTTTAAGATATCATTAAGGGTTTTAGAAAGCTACCTTTGCTGCAAACACCTGGCGCTAGTTGCCCATTTTCATATGCCGTCACTGATCTTACATCTGTGACAAATTTGTTCTGTGGACGATGATATCTGATGATGATGTACGCAAAGCTATGCAAAATTGACCGATATAAAAGTTCTTAACACCGCGTAAAAGTCTTTGTGTTAAACAGTGCCTAATATTACGTCAATGTCAAGTGTATGGTCGTTTCAATGAGAGTTTTTAAGTCTTTGTAAACATGCCTCCATAGATAAGTCAATTACTGTTAAGATCTTTTGGTTTGTATAATTTTGCAAAAGTATTTTTTTGTCGACGAAGAAAGCCAACATAGTACCTACAAGAACCCGTCAATTATATGATTACCATTATAAGAGAAGATATATAGAATTATAGAAACATGCGGGCTAGTATTTTTTAAATATCTATAAAATATTATTTACTACAAGTAGTAGGTATCTAAATAGAGGCGTTGACGACACCTCAAGAATGGCCTTGATATAAATTATTTGTTATATGCTACATTCATAATTACAAACTACTCTCAAAGAAATTTGAATACTACAGTCATTGATCCTGTTAAGTTACAGAAGTACAATAATATTCTTTGAAGTCGCCGAAACACGATATTTTGTCGAAATAGACTTAGTGAATCGCCAGAGGGATATAATATTAAGTAAATGTTAGGTAATCGAATCTATAGCGTAAACGAAAAGCAATACTCTGAATTTTTATTTTAATATGGAAATACTCACATAATTGTGAAACTTTTGGGAAACAATATATTTCGGATTAGAGTCGATGTTTAAGAAGCTTGGACATTCGCTAAAACAAACATACCCCTTGAAACGCGTCATCGAAAATATGAAACATAAAAATTGTGTATATGTAGATATTTATCCACTTATATTTAAATTAATAAGTATTCAAAATTGATGTTGACTGTTTTTATAATTATATCAGTGGTAGTTACTCGATGTTGTGGTGTAAATTAGTGTCTTATATTAGTGGTCAAAAATTACTCAGAGATCGTTTAAGTTCTTGTGTCGATCTTAGAAGTAGGAACACCTTTACGCTACGTGGGATATTGGAACGTTTAACGCGAGGTACGAGAGCCTATAAAGTATTTTAATAGACGTGTATTGAAAGTTATCTCTGACTGGTTTTTGTCCTAAAATTTAGTAGTATTTAATCGGTGTGGTCTCTTCTTTACATAAAAAATATTCATGTACTGTAACAATTACGAACTATGGTGTATTATTTTTATTCGAATTCTAATGGTTATTGAGCACAGCAATTGTATATATGTGCTACCAGGTCAAATGTGATAAATTAGGGTTTAAGAGATGTATGATGGATTTACGAGTCCCCACATTTTATGTCGGAATCTGATTTCGTAAACTGTCTATTCATACCTTACAAGAGAGTATTTTGCTAAGGTTTGGTTGGTGGTAGTGAAATGTGGGACTTATCTAAATAGGCACATTATTAGACTGTCATGTCTTATTTTAATTAAGTCTTTGATAGGTTAAATCATAATGCATCATTATTTACTATAGTGAGGAAATGGGCATTATCAACTACATTTTCAATCGGATTATTTATTATTTTATACAAGAATTTCATTTGGAAATTTCCATAGCTCTTCTAAATATTCAGTCTGGAATTAAATCAGAAAATAGTACGCGATGATAAATGTTAAATCGGAAATTTAATCGTCCCCGTCCGATTTTAATTTTAATTAAATTTCTTATTTTTATTATATGGTATGCCCAGGTAAGAAAACTCTACTGAGTTTTCTCGTTGTGTATTAGCTCATTCGTCAGTTATTATTTCTTGGTGAATTTTAATCTCTATAACCAAACAACAAGAAAGTGTAATATTTGGAAGTGCTGTGGCAAAGTTGAATTAGCTATAGATAAATAAAATGAAGACAGAAAGTATCTTAAAAGTACGTTGCTTCTACTGTTACAGCCTAGTTAATTACCGCATTGTCATTTTGTCGCGGGAGATAAGGTACGACAATGTTCTACCTGTGTACATTTCATCGTTCTGGAAAGTTCTCAATATTTTAATTATAAAATGTATCCTCCTTTCGTAACGCTAACAAGCGCGAATTATATTTGAGCCGATATGTGGCCCCATGTCTTTGATGCTTTCAGCAGCTATGGTTACAGATGGCGGATAGATAATAATTCGCGTTTCAAATCGTTTAAAGTAGTTTTCTTTAGTATTCTGCTAAACAGCGTAAACTACAGATACAACACGTATCCTTCATTATTTCGTAAGAATATCGTTAGGAGCGGTTGTTCGATAAATTGTTATTATTGTGATATTACTATAAGTTGAGATCTTGTAGCGTATAGAAAGTGTCTCCGCACAACATAGGCAACGACGATTGAATCTAGACTGATTTTCGGGTAGAGGTAACATAGGCCAGAACGTTTACAGGCAATACGTATTACTTGTCTCAAATATGATAATGAGTTTGACAGTTCACGGCTGTGAAGTATTTATTGTTTTAGGTATTTATTTCCGTATTATTTATTTTTACTGCTGCTTACTGAAATTTAGGTAATTATCTCTTTAAAATATTCTACATTGTCGATTTAAAGTTTACAAACAACACGTTAATTCTCTCCTTGTTTCATATACTGTATCCTCACTGTCAATTGTCAAACTTGTCCTATACGAGACAAGATATAGTAATATTCTTTTATTCTATAACCGACACACCGTTTCAATAGTAAATTACAACTTAAGAGAGTTTATTTAATTTTAAACGTTACTTATATCTACAGAATGTTTTATATACCGAACTTATTCGTTTCACAGATGTATTGATTTTTATACATGTCCATGTTTTACAACAAGAATAGAGGTAAGTGTAGTTACGTAGATGGGTCTATTAACCGCGTGGTGCTACAATGTGTAATGATATGTGATAGATATTGTTCTTCAGAGACATTTTATTTATCGAAGCTTCCATAGATAATGTAATACACAACATAATAGATTAATGTCGTCAGCAATAATTTTGTTTAGGTAAGACCAATGTATATGGGTTATGGCGTTAATTGTTTGTTTTTCGTGCAATTTTATTTATCTCCAACGGAATTTAAGCGTGGCCAAAACACTGTACAGTCATAAGTTCTGATGTCGATCAAACTGATTGACAAATCGTGAAAAAGCAATCAAGACTTCGCTAGTTAGTTAATATTTATTTGGTTTCAAATAGTCTGAAGGCTCACTGTATAATTTATTATTTGTTGACTTGTTTTATGGCCTTATATAAATAATAAGCCGTGTTAACCAAGAACAATTATTATTAATGAGTATTGTACAATTTCTTGACATAAAATTGTATTTTTCATGTAAAGATATCTAGTGATAATATTCTCTTCAGTCCTCCAAGGAATGG